GAGAGTCCCAGGATTAATGGAGATAATATGAACACATATAAAAGAGAGAATTCAAGGATTAATGGAGATAATATAAACACATAAAAGAGAGAGACCTAGGATTAATGGAGAAAATATAAACTATAAAAGAGAGAGTCCCAGGATTAATGAAGATAATATAAACACATATAAAAGAAAGAGTCCCAGGATTAATGGAGATAATATAAACTATAAAAGAGAGAGAGCCCCACGATTAATGGAGATAATATAAACACATATAAAAGAGAGAGTCCCAGGATTAATGGAGATAATGTAAACACATATAAAAAAGAGAATTCCAGGATTAATGGAGATAATATAAACACATATTAAAGAGAGAGTCACAGGATTAATGGAGATAATATAAACACATATAAAAGAGAAAATTCCAGGATTAATGGAGATAATGTAAACACATAAAAGAGAGAGACCTAGGATTAATGGAGAACATATAAACTATAAAAGAGAGAGTCCCAGGATTAATGAAGATAATATAAACACATATAAAAGAGAGAGTTCCAGGATTAGTGGAGATGATATAAACACATATAAAAGAGAAAATCCCAGGATCAATGGAGATAATATGAACACCTATAAAAGAGAACATCTCTGGATCAATGAAGATAGTATAAACACATATAAAAGAGAACATCTCAGGATCAATGGAGATAATATAAACACATATAAAAGAGAACATCTCAGGATCAATGGAGATTATATGAACACATATAAAAGAGAACATCTCAGGATCAATGGAGATAATATAAACACAAATAAAAAAGAACATCTCAGGATCAATGAAGATAATATAAACACATATCAAAGAGAACATCTCAAGATCAATGTAGATAATATAAACATATATAAAAGAGAACATCTTAGGATCAATGGAGATAATGTAAACACATATAAAAGAGAAATTCCCAGGATCAATGGAGATAATATAAACACATATAAAAGAGAACATCCCAGGATCAATGGAGAAAATATAAAGACATATAAAAGAGAACATCCCAGGATCAATGGAGATAATATAAACACATATAAACGAGTCCCAGGATCAATGGAGATATTATAAACACATATAAAAGAGAACATCCCAGGATCAATGGAGATAATATAAACACATATAAAAGAGTCCCAAGATTACCGATGAGCATTGTTATTTAAAGTGTCCTAACGGTTCTGACTTTAAATAGGCCTTTTACATATTTATGCTGTTTACAATACAGTCGGTTAGTTGTTTATGTTGCTGGTTGACACAGTTGGTTAATTGTTGATATAGTTGATTAGTTATTAATATAGTTGGGTAGTAGCTTGTTAGTTGTTAGTACAGTTGGTTAGTTGTTAGTTCAGTTTTGTAGTTGTTAGTACAGTTGTTAAGCTGTTAGCACAGTTGGTTACTTGTTAGTACAGTTAGTTAGTTGTTATTACAGTTGGTTAGTTGTTAATATTGTTGGGTAGTTGTTTATATAGTTGGTTAATTGTTGGTACAGTTGGGTAGTTTTAGTACACTTGGTTAGTTGTTAGTACAGTTGGTTAGTTGTTATTACAGTTGGTTGGTTGTTAATATTGTTGGGTAGTTGTTTATATAGTTGGTTAGTTGTTGGTACAGTTGGGTAGTTTTAGTACACCTGGTTAGTTGTTAGTACAGTTGGTTAGTTGTTAGTAAAGTTGGGTAGTTGTTAGTACAGTTGGTTAGTTGTTAATATAGTTGATTAGTTGTTAGTACAGTTGGTTAGTTGTTAGTACAGTTGGTTAGGTGTTAGAAGAGTTGGTTAGTTGTAAATATAGTTGGTTAGTTGTAAATATAGTTGGTTTGTTGTAAATATAGTTGGTTAGTTGTAAATATTGTTGGTTAGTTGTAAATATAGTTGGTTAGTTGTAAATATAGTCGGTTAGTTCTAAATATAGTTGGTTAGTTGTAAATATAGTTGATTTGTTGTAAATATAGTTGGTTTGTTGTAAATATAGTTGGATAGTTGTAAATATAGTTGGTTAGTTGTAAATATAGTTGGTTAGTTGTAAATATAGTTGGTTAGTTGTAAATATAGTTGGTTAGTTGTAAATATAGTTGGTTAGTTGTAAATATAGTTGGTTAGTTGTAAATATAGTTGGTTAGTTGTAAATATAGTTGGTTTGTTGTAAATATAGTTGGTTTGTTGTTAATACAGTTGGTTTGTTGTTAATACAGTAGGTTAGTTGTAAATATAGTTGGTTTGTTGTTAATACAGTTGGTTTGTTGTTAATACAGTTGGATAGTTGTTAATACAGTTGGTTTGTTGTTAATACAGTAGGTTAGTTAATGTTACAAATAACAAACCGTATGGTTTTAATTTGACAAAAGGTTTCTTCACAAACATAAAAAATCAATGTCTTTAGTAGAATTTTTTAGAGTACGTACTTTTGTTTATTTTACGTTCTTAGATAAGGCCTCCGAACTAGGGCTTGTCTAAATTTAAATGCAAGATTTTTTTTAAGAAATAACTGTTAGTTAAATACTAGTTCATCTAAGAAGAAAATCCCTAAAAATCTTACATCAAAAAATTTGTTATTTATTCAAATTAAATTGTTATTTTTTTAAGCCACTCTTGAGTATAAACATGAACATTATGATGAGGAACTTACATGTAACATCATGTTCCAGGAATCTTGACGCTTTCCTCAAATCTTCAAATCTTTTAAAATTTGTCTGATGCTGCAATAATAAAAAAGAATAATAAAAGTGTAAAAAATCTGACATGAGTTAACCTTGCATTTATCAATTTTTAACTGCAGTATGCTTCTACGCATCAATCTATAAATGATTTTCATTAAAACTTTTAGCTCAAATGTATATCAAATCAAAAACAAAATACATAGTTTTCAGTAAAAATGTAATTAGCATTGATATATTTCCCGATACTTTGTAATGATTTACCCTTATCCTATGTAACGGAAATTAAACGTTTTTCTATTTCAAGTGATCTTGTATTTATAGAATGTCATGTTCGATTCCCAGGGGTACCCTAAAACCTTTGTTTCATCAATGATGAATGAAATATCCATGTTCTCTCTTTCGAACATTGGTTATTTAAATTGCGGGTTCTCTGTAAAAGTGACTTGCGGATTTCTTGCTACGGAAACAAGAATAAATTGTTTTAATGAAACATTTTTTTCGAGCCAGAAAAATGATGATACTTCCCTAATTTTGATGAGACGAAGGTTTAAAGGGCAGCGTTGTGAATCGTGGAGGATCATCTTCCTATGCATGGAGGGTCTCTTTAGGAAACACAATATTGAATTGAAATAACTCTCTTGGGGCAAAGATTAAACGAATAAAAATGGTTTTCTGATGTTTTTAATCCATATATATATATATATATATATAGATATATAGATATTTGAAAATAGTTAAATATCGGTATATTCTGTATATTCTTTCAGTGTCTCACACAGTTCCCTATCATTTACAGTCATTAAACCAGGCTTACAGGAGGAGTTACATACATCTTGGGTGGTCTACAGGGTGTCCTCATAAAAATCACAAATTAGAGAAAAGAAAATAATATTTAATATTTTTTGTGGCGTAAGTCGTCGCTCCGGGCTCCCACTTATCTTCAAAATTATAATAATATATTTTTTTTTTGAAAGAATCGGAATCAATAACTAAATTTCAATCTAAATCTTCGGTAACTTTAAGAACACACACACAGACAACCCATATTTAGTTTGAAAATTCCAGGACAGCGGATAGTTTATACTTTATGATTATTATTCAAGTTGTCCAAAATTCGATGCCGAAATATAATTTAAGAAGAAGTCACAGCATTCTGGTTTTTATTAAAACTAAATTTTATTGCGACACCATGTACCATTCCTTTCTTTTAGAAAGGTATAATTCTTGATTCAAAAAAAATTAATTTAATTTTAATTTCATTTTTTTATTCTTTTTTAAACGAAACCCAATTTTGATGTTAAACAAATTTAATTTAATATCTTTTTATACCTTTTTTCAACAAATACCCATTTTGATTTTAAAAAATTCAATTTAATTTTAACTTCATTCTTTTTATTCTTTTTTAAACAAAACCCCATTTTGATTTTCAAAAAATTTAATTTAATTTTAATTTAATTTTTTATTCTTTTCAAACAAAATCCATCAAGAATTTAAAAAAAAAAATTAATTTAATTTTGATTTGATTTTTTTTTATTATTTTTTAAGCAAAACCCATTTTGTCTTAAATCCTTCCAAATCTCATTTGAATGTACGACATTAATTTGACACATGCATGAACATATTATCCACGAACTGATGAGACTGGTAAGATAACACTCTCCTTTCCAAAGGAATTCAGTCTTTGCCAAAAACTCTGATTTTCAAATCCCAATATCTTTTTGACCCAATGTCTTAGATCTTAGATATTTCAAACTAGGAATTCTCTTAGATTAAATTATCAAAAATTGAAGTATCAAAGAAAATTCGAGTTTGTGGCAGAGGCTCAATTCCTTTGTATTGTCAGTGATTTGAATATTTTGATATAATAACGGTATTTTTCTTGTTTCAGTTTTGGAGAAGTAATTTGAAAAAAAACCTAACAGATTCTGATAAAGTATGTTAACAAAATTTATACTGAAATTTTTTCAAATCTCCATTTAGCCATTTTCAACTAAATTTTCTTATTGCGTCGAAACGGAAAAAAAACTTTTAAATGAAAGGATTAAGTTGGCGCTAAGAGAGAGAAAGTTAAACTTATTTAGGGGATTTAAAGTTGCCAATATATATTGACTGACCTTTTATTATCTTTAATCTGTACTTTTAGTATTTCGTTCTTTAACCTCCCCCCCCCCCTGTCACCTTCCCCCTCTCCCTTATCCCAAGCCCAACACAAACACCTACGTTATCTAATGTTCTCTGGAGCTAGGCCAATAAATTAGTTTTCAACCATTTTCCTCAATATTTTGAACAACATCATGGTTATTTAATTAGTAAAAAACCTGAAATCAGTCAACACGCAACATAAATTTATTTTTAAACATACATTGAGAATATGGCATTTTAAATGGCAGATAATATTCATAATTTTAACATCTTTTTTACAAATCATAATAAACAAGTTAAAAACGGTCAAAAAAAGTTGTTGGGTAACAATGAAAATGAACATGGCAAGCTGAAAAATATTACTCTTTACACAGTTAAATTGCTATTTGTTGTAAAACTATTTTGATATTTGAGAGCTCCCTCTTAGGGAGACACTAATTTTTATTGGCAAAAAAGAAAGCCTAAAACTGGTGACGACCAAAATTTAATAAAAATAAGGTACAATTATTGATTTTGTGAATAAGTTGAAGACTATAAGATTATATCACAATGGACTGACGAGCGCAATTAATCAATTAATACTTCGTCTTCGTTTCCAATTTTTCCTGTGAATATCCGCGGCCTCTGCGCTGCGCTCTAAAAAATCACTTTCCATTAACGGTATTGGAGTCCGGCCTTTGCTATTAGGCAGTTCACTGTAATCTATATTGTGCATTTTTAACTGAAAAGAGCTCAGCTCTGTTTTGTCTATTTGATCCTCGTCGGAGTATTCAACCTCGCGACTTTGTCTTTCGTCCTCCTCGGCATGGAGGAGGAACTCAAATGGAGGACGGGCCTTCTCCCTGCTCCCACCCCAATCCAGTTTCTTTTTATCCCCCTCAACCCGTTTTACAACCATTTTGTTCCGAAGACCGACCAAGGATTTCCTAGATCCGTCCTCTTTTTCTTTCTTCTGCTTTCTTTTTAGTTCTCTTTCTCTTTTCCGTTCCATCCTTCTTAACCTTCTCATTTGTCTTTTTCTTTTTTTCTGCTTAGAAATTTTTATTTCCGGTTCTACCCTGTAGGCTGGTTGGCTCATTCCTATTCGTGACAGGTCAAGGGCATCCAGGTCGTCGTCAAAGACCTCTCCGCCCTCGAGGTTAAGGACCTCGTTCCTGGTAGAATTTGCCTGACTGGTGGAGGACATCTCCCCGCTGTAGAAGTGCTCCCCGGAGTACTTGAAGGGGATCATGTTCCTGCACCCGGTTGGTTCTCTCCACCCAGGGATACGAACCCCAGCTCGTTCACATTCTCGTGCATAGGCTGTCAGCACCTAGAGTAATAACGGTTCACAACCAGAATAAAGAAAGATAAGTTTAGAAACATAGACGTACCCATATGGGAATTTTAATCTTTAAAGATAATAATTATAACCAATCTAATATTTTTGCCACAAACTTAAATTTTGTGATCTCTTTTTGCAACCTGATATCTTAAAGTTAAACAAAATCTGTGGCGAAAGCTTAATTTCTTTTATGTTACGGAATATAAATACGTTCTGTAAAAGATAGAAATTCCTTTTGTTCTGCTGCTGAATTACAGTGTATTTTGTGCAACAGTTGTTAGAGAAATACATATGTTTAATTGTGAATACATTACGTTAAGAAAAAAGACCGGGATTTTCATAAGATTTGAGAAAATTGGGCGTTTCCTTTCTTGTGTCCAGTATGCTAGATATTTAAATAGATTAGTAGACGTGAGGGGGCGGGGGAAAGAACCTTTTAAATTTAATTAATTGGAAAGGAATATATTAAAATTTCATTAAGAAACAGCAGTCGTCTGCCGACAATTGAAAGAATGTAAATTAAGAAAATCAAAAAAAAATTAAAATTTAGTGTTTAGTTTACAATTAGTAAAAAGTTGCGGACGTTTTAAATTAAGAAATAACTATTATTCCAAAGAGCTAAGATTTATTTTTTTTCATATTTTTCCTTTTTTCATTATAATTCTCAGCAATAAAAATATGTTGAAGACTTACTGAATGACATCCTTGAATTCTGATTGGTTAAGTCGTTTGACAATCATTGGATCCATCTCGTAAAATAAAATGCGCTATAAAGTCGAGAAGGTTACCTCGCAGTGGCACTGAGTGCCTGGGCACTCACACATATCAATCCTGCATGCCTTGAAGTAGAACTCCGGATGAATCCTGGCATGGCAGGGTTGGAATACCGGAGATTTGATCGCTGCACAATGTTTACTAGAACGGATATTTGCGTCCCAGTTCTGTTTACAGGGTGGAGGCTGGGCAGGGACATCTCGAGGTAGAACCTACAATTAAAATGATGATTTTAAATAAAAGAAATTTTATTGATAATTTTTCTTTTGAATTTTGTTGTTTATTATCTTTATTATCCTTATACATTGTTCATATTATGATTATCGTTGCAAAAAATAAAGTTTGTAATGATTAAAAGTGGGAAAGTTATAAGAAAGAGAAAGGTCTGGCAACAATTTAAAGGTGTAGTGTAGTGAATAATTTGTCTAACTGCGCGGAACCCTGAAATCTTTAGATTTTTTGTTTGTTTGTTTTTTAATGTCCTTGCTACCCTCTGGGAGTAAAATAATGATGGCGATAAATTTGAAATAGTTTGTTTAATTTCAACCCTTGCATAGCTTGACATAGATTCATTGATTATAACGCCGTTTCATAACAAAGTATCTAAGCTTAGAATTGTTTAAGAAAAAAAATTGTCAATAATTTTGCAATGCTAAGGAATTGAGTCTTTGCCACAAATTCAGTTTTTGTAAAATCTACATCTTTGCAACCTTATGATGTAAACCTTTGATATTTCAAACTTACATTATTTGATCTAATAGCGACCCCTCCTGGGATTAATGTCAAAATTTAAAAAGATTCAGATTTTATAAATGGCTAATTTTTATAAAAATCCAACTTACCGAGCAGGCTTTCTTCCCCCCGACCCTCCAGCTGTTTCCAAACTCCTGTCCCGAGCTGAGCAGCGACCCATGCCGGCCAATCAAATCGTCAGTTCTGTCTCCGTTAAAGTTTCCGCAGAGGCCGCACATCAGGCCGGCCATTCGAGCAGGTACAGTCAACTCAAGGAAACTTACTCCGTCCCAGAGAATTCTAGCACCTGGAAATATAAATAATAATAAATTAATCTTTTACTACAGTCTTCAACTAGAAAAAAAGAGAAGGCTAAATTTATGCATCTTTACATGGATTACTTTGTGACCTAGTAGCTCCTCTAGTTTTTCTAATTTTACACATTTATTATCTTCTCAATTCCTATTTAATAAGAGAAGCAATTAATGAAAACATAAAGGACTTCAATCTTACGTGAAAGGAATTGAGTTTTTGCCACAACCTCAAATTTTCTTATTTCTATATCTCTGCAATCAGTGAATATAAACCTTTGAAATTTCAAACTTAAATTATTTGATCTATCAGAATAAATAGTTTGAAATATCTAAGGTCTACCACATTGGGTTGCCAAGATATAGGGATAAGAATAGTTGAGTTTGTGGCAAAAACTCAGTTCCTTTACTTTAGCTTGAGTGCACAGTGAGTTGAGTTTAGCGTGAGTGTACCGTGAGCTGAGTTTAGCGTGAGTGTACGGTGAACTTAGTTTAGCGTGAGTGCACGGTGAACTTAGTTTAGCGTGAGTGCACGGTGAACTGAGTTTAGCGTGAGTGTACGTTCAAACTGGTTGAAAGTAACAGAGTAATTGTTATATACAGGACACTTATTATATTTCTTACACAAATATTTCACCATGTTTAATATTTTAAACTTAACACGACACGGTCTCCCCCCCCCCTTCCCCCTTGTCTATATTTGTTGGATAAGAAACAACATTATTTTAATCAAATCTAGAATTAAATTTAACGTTTTTCAGAGAATGTGTATATTAGTAAGTGTTTGGTTTAAGAGTGCGACTGCAGTATAACAATGCGCCCTTATAACGCCCAAGTGTTTATTCTTTTTAAAATATATTAACGACAATAGATGTTGTAAATTACATTCTGATTTTTTAACATTAAAGATTTTTCTATTTTAAAGAGTTTAAAACAATTGAAACACACTTTTGAATCGTGATATTTATAGTATTCCCATTAAAAAATCATTATTTAATTGTTTGTTAAATATTTTATTTAAATTTGATCAAGAAGTTCTGATTTCTGTTGCCATGGAATTAGAAGAAATGTGGGTAAATGCTAAAGAACAGGATTTCTATTCTAAATGATCAGTAAAAATGTATTTTTATTTTAAAAAAATACTATAATGAATTCTTGCATATACTTCGGAATTAATGCAAAAGTAAGTTATAGTGTAGAGTAGTAGGAATTAGAAGGATGTAGTAAGTAGTAGGAATTAGAAGGAAGTAGTAAGTAGTAGGAATTAGAAGGATGTAGTAAGTAGTAGGAATTAGAAGGAAGTTGTAAGTAGTAGGAATTACAAGGAAGTAGTAAGTAGTAGGAATTACAAGGAAGTAGTAATAATACCTAAAAGTTTTACAAACTTTTTTTGTAAATTCTTAAAACCCAAGAAAATAAATAAATAAAGAAACTTGAAATGTATTTTATTTTATAGTTGTGATACATTACATTAGAAATATTTTGCAGACCTGTTTCTTCTTCTATGTTTTCTTCCTTCTATATTGATCAGAAACATTTTTTAAAATATCAATCATTGATAAATCTACTAAGTAAGTAGTAGCAATTAAAAGGAAGTATAGTAATAGGAATTTAAAGGAAGTATAGTAGTAGGAATTAAAAGGAAGTAAATAATACCTAAAAGTTTTACAAACTTTTTTTGTAAATTCCTAAAACCCAAGAAAATAATTAAATAAAGAAACTTGAAATGTATTTTATTTTATAGTTGTGATACATTACATTAGACATATTTTGCAGACCTGTTTCTTCTTCTATGTTTTCTGCCTTCTATATTTATCTGATGATTGATCAGAAACATTTTTTAAAATATCAATCATTGATAAATCTACTGTGTCTAGGGTGTTCAAACAAAACCTACTGTGTCTACGGGGTCCAAACAAAAATATATTGTCTCTAGGGTGTCCAAACAAAATCTACTGTGACTAAGGTGTCCAAACAAAGTCTATTGAGTCAAGGGTTCCAAACAAAATGTCTTGTGTCTAGAGTGTCAAAACAAAATAACAAAATTTCTTGTGACTAGGGTGTCCAAACAAAACGTCTTGTGTCTAGGGTGTCCAAACCAAATGTCATGTGACTAGGGTGTCCAAACAAAAATATCTTGTGTCTAGGGTGTCCAAATAAAATATCTTGTGTCTTGGATGTCCAAACAAAATCTTCTGTGTCTAAGGTGTCAAAAAAAATATCCTGTGTCTAGGGTGAAAAGGAGTTTAATTCCTATATCTTTGCAACTCAATGTCCCATAATTACATAAGTTTAAAATTTCAAAGGTTTACACCATCAGGTTGCACAAATATAGAGATTAGAAAATTTGAGTTAGCGTCGAAAACTTGACTCCATTATTCAAATAAAATATTTTAATTTTTTTAAATCATGTATGTAATACTGATACTTTTTATCTCAAGTTTTAAATAAAAATTAAGATTTGAAAAGTAAAATATGTGGCAAAAACTCTACAATTTCAGCCCAACGTGCAATATGATACAAGTATATTATAAGCATACATTTTTATTTTGTGTGTGTGCATTCGATCAATTTAAAAAAAACAGTTAAAATTAACTGCTTAAAAAACGAATTATCGTAATTTTGATAATTGCAGCATCGATATGTCTTTGGTTTTAAATCTTAAAATTAAAAATGATCGGCGGATTTTTACGCTTTTAGTCAAGAGTCGAGACAAGTTAGAATTTGCATTTCTACAGATGAAAAACATCCTATCAAACCCCCACAATTATCAAATAAATATTCGGTAATGTTATTATTTACAAGAGGGTCATTTCAAATTATAATGACAAATTTTTCTCTAATTTTGCTCAATTTTAGTTCAATGATAACTAAATAACCCTTAATCTTTGGCGCTTAGCGTTGAAACCAAACAAACAAAAGAACTAAAATTTGACAAAGTGATATGTAATATAACCACATAAATCTCACATTTAGTTGCACAGCATAGGCGCGCGCGCAGAGGAAGGGGGGGACAGTGGTGAGAGTGTGGGGGGTGGGAGTGGGGAGGGGAGAGATGTTAGTTTATGGGGAGTGGTATCTGAATGCTGTGGTCTAAGGCTGATGAAAAATAGTAAATTATTATTATTCAATTATCATCTTCTTCTCAAAATAAAACTGAAAATCATTCAAACTTTCAAATCTGAAAATGTACATCGTAGCATATAGATATACAATATATTCTTCAGATACTTTTAAATTAAAGTGTTCATGAAATATGTAAATATGCATAAAAAATTCTCAAAATTGAAAATTTTTCATAAAATTTGTTGATTTCACGCATTTTGAAAATCGCTGTTTACTAACAAAAGCTTTTTGTTTGCAACCACATAAATCTAAAAAGCAGTTTAGTTGAGAAAATAAAGATATCAAAAGGCAAAATCTGAACTAAATTGATTGCATCCTAGCTGCCCCAGGCCAGGTATTTAAAATTCGCACAGAGATAAGCTTAAGATTAAATAATAGAATGAATGGGAGCTAGTAACAAAGTGCATGGTACTCAATACAAATGTCAAATATATATAATTCTATGTGTTTATATAAAGGGACCGGTTTACTGATAGGCACTAAATATATCAAATTAAAACTGTAAATTCAAGAAATAAATGTGTTAAATATTATATGTTTTAAGATTTGATTAATTCTTATATCTTAAATTATATCTTTCTTACACGCCAAGGAAAAGTAAATTCGCGTAAGATTTTAAATTCTTTTCAATAATAACTTCTCTTATTGAAGAGCTTCCGCATAGAACAAAATTATAATGTAACTGGATAAATTTGCCTTGTTACCTTGTGTATAAAATCAAACCTATAAGGAGCTACGAGGTAACAAAGTTGATCATATTTTATATATGTTAGTCCAATCCAAAATAATTCTTTGAATTTTTCTTGGAAAAAAAATATTTTGCAAACATGAAAACTATATCTACTTGATAAAAAGAAACAAATGCCTTTCAAAGGAATTGAGTATTTGACACAAACTCAAATATTCTAATTCCTAGATCTTTGGATTCCAATGTCGTATACCTTTGAAATTTCAAACTACGACTTCTGTTAAAAAAAAAAATATAAGTTTGAAATATCAAAAGTTTACGACATTGGGTTCCAAAGATATAGAGACTAGAAAAGCAGAGTTTGTGGCAAAGACTCAATTCCTTTGTGCCCATAATATAATATAATATATTAAACTTAAAACCTGTCAATTAATAAATAAAACTTAAGTTTTCATCAGATCTAATAAACACTAAACAGCCTTTTGTTTTCTAACAAAATGTAACTTCTCATTGTGATGTAATATTATTACTTTTTTTTTACTAAATGAAACACATCAAACGATGACTAAGATGTCATATTTAAAGTCCAGTGAGCCTTCACTTTCGAAATCATTTAAATCCGTTGATGAAGATTAGGATTTTGGGATTTAAACTTTTTTGTCCATTACGCTTTATATAATTTCTGGATTTTAATTACAGATCAAACGTAATAGAAATTTCGTGCGCGCAAAGGCGTATGACATCCTTTATTTCTATTTTATCTATCTCATCTCAGTTTAAGATTAATCTAAACCTACCTTCATTAGTTCTGAGAATGACCCTGTATCCGTCCTGCATCACAGATAGAACTCCGAGTTTGATGTAAGGTAAGCTGACCTTTTTCCCATCAACCTGAACCCAACCAAATTTATTCATATCCTTTATTTGAAGAATGCGTTTCTAATTCAAAAATTAATAATTTTAAAAAATAAGATTTAAATTTGTTTTCCTTGACTCTCATTCTTTGCAGCAGCGACACTTTAGTATCTCCGAGTCGAACAGTGACAGTTCTCAACCAGGAGAATGCAACTGTATCCCGAGCATCATTCGTAATCCTGATTGAAAAGTTAGAGTTGCCACTTCCCTCGGAACAATCTCTGGTTAGGAGATATTTACAGGAACCTTGGAAGTTATAGATTCGTCCGTCAAAGGTTTTGTAATGAGGATCTCCGAACACAGTACAGACTCCTTCCTTCTCCGCAGGTTTAGGAATCTTCCTGCAGGCTGGACAACATTCTCCGGGTTGTGGAGAGGGTTGGGTTCCAGGAGGACAGGACGGACACTCACTCCGGGTACATTCTACTACTCCTTTATTACATTTACAGGTTTTACAATCATCTGAACTCCAGGATGTGTCGTGTGGGTGTTCAGCTCCGGAGTGTGTACAGGACGGAGGAGTGTGAGCTGGGAGACAACCAGACCTGGAACAGGTTGGAACTAGATCCTTGGAACAGGTGCATGATGTGCAGGTATCAGGTTGGAACACCTCTTCTCTCCTGTACAGGTTACTTTGGAACAAACACATGTCCCTCGGAGTAAACATAAATCTTCCACGGGGACATTGAGGACAACAGTGTCCCGGGGGCGTGGTCTGAAGATGGGTTGGACAGGATAGGACGGGACAAGACTTTCTTTGGCAGACAATATTTCCCTGGACACAATGACACTCCCTGCAAGGATCTGCAGGATCAGGAGCGATTTCTCCATCCGTTAGAGACAGTCCATGAAGCCTGCAGGAGGAGCATGACGGACAACATTCTCCAGGTCCAGGGGGAGTAGGAGAACTACAGTGTGCGTCACAGTGTATCTTTTCCTCCGTAAGTACTCCACTGAAACATGTGAGCTGAGAGCAAGGATTAAGAGGATCCGTCCAGCTTTTTCCACTTCCAATCAGGGTTCCATTGATAACACAGCCTTGACATTTCTCACAACATTGTCCGGGTAGTTTTTTCTCAAGGTTGTAGCAACCGGAGGTTGAGGGGCATTTCCTCCTCGCGTCCTCGCACTGAACAATCCTGTTGAGACATCTGCAGGTATAGCAGGGATTGATGTTGGTGATACCAGGAACATGAACCTCTTCCCCCTCCTCCTCTCTACACCTCACGTTGCTACCGTTGAGGTCACTGTATCCCGACACCAAACTCAAGCTTAGAACCAATATTAACCACATGTTTCACCATGGCATGTTCTCACCATCACTGTTCTCTATAAACTGATTGTAAGTTTGGTGGTGACAGCAGGGCTGGCGCCGGTTGCCCCCCTCCCTCCACCGCCATTCCTGGCGGCATCGGAGATATCAACTCCCGGGAACCCATTCCTTCCAGGGGAATCCGTAACCCTCTCTCCTACACTGTCACGGAGTCTCATCAAAGTATGTTTGCCTGAAATATTATCAAGCTTAGTCGGATCCTGGTTAGGGGCTGATAAAAGGGCCTGGCCCCTTAAAAAATTCCAAGGGCCCAATATTGTTGATTAGATATAGAATACACAGAGGTGCCATACTGACTAGACTGTAGAGACGGGGCGCTATTTGTGAAGATTCTAACTTTCTCATTAGTCCAAAGGATGGGAAGGGGGGAGAGGAGGGGGACAAGATATGGATTATTTTTAGTAATAATCCATCTGTGTGTCTGAAAAAAGGTTGCAATAACAAAGCAACCCTTAAATTCAGATAAGAAACTGTACATTAATTGTAAAACACACTTTCTCAATTTAAAGAACATTCCCCTGCTTCTACCCAGTTCCCAATTCAAAATTTGAGGCAAATTGGTAAAGGGGTTCATGGTTTATGATCGGACCTACAAACAAACATACAAATATTTACAGATTTAGAATTTTCCTCATCCCCCCCCCCCTTCCTTGCTAATATGAAAAGTCCTGACAGCAACATTTTTTATGGCATCTGCAGTTTAAAAAATCCTGAATAATTGGAAGATTTCCAAATATTTTTGGAAAGATTGGTCTTTTGCTAAACCATTCTTATCCAATACACACATAATATATACACTAATATATACACTAATATATTATCTATACATCTAATTTATACATTATAATATTCAGCAAACAGAGAAATTTTTTCTTTCCATATAGCATCCCATATATCCCGTGTATACCCTGTATCCAATGTATCCCCTGTATCCACTGTATCCCCTGTATCCCTTGTATTCCTTGTAACCCCTGTATCCCCTTTATCTCCTATATCCCCTGTATCTTCTGTATCTCATATTTCCCCTTGTATCTCTTACATATTCTTGCATCCCGCATGGTGCTTCTGTATCCCTTCATCAACTTTTATCCTGTAACCCCTGCAAGACTGTATTCCTAATTCATGCGTAGTATTCTTATATGTGCTTATATCCCTATATCCCCCTGTATCCCCCTGAATTCCCCTGTATCTTCTGTATTCCCTGTACACTACACTACAGTATCCAACCTGTATCAGCCTGTATCCCCTGTATCACCATGTATGCCCCTGAATCCCCCAGTATCCCCCAGTATCCCCCAGTATCCCCATGCATCCCCTGCATCCCCCTGTATCCCCCTGCATTCACCTGTATCTCTATGAATGCCCCTGTATCCCCCTGCATCCACCTGTATCTCTATGAATGCCCCTGTATCCCCCTGCATCCACCTTTATCTCTATGAATGCCCCTGTATCCCCCTGCATCCACCTTTATCTCTATGAATGCCCCTGTATCCCCTGTGTCCCACTGTATCGCCTGTATCCCCGTGTATCCCCCTTTATCCCCCTTTATCGCCTATATCCCCTATATGCCCTGTATCCCATGTATCCCCTATATCCCCTGGATCCCCTGTATCCCCTGTGTCCCCTGTATCCCCTGTATCCCCTTGTATTCCCCTTATCCTCTATTCAAATTCACATATCCCCCTGTAACCCCCTGTATCCTTGTATCCCCTCAATTTCCCCTATAACCTCTATAAACATTTATATATCCCCATGTATCCCCCTGTATCCCTGTATCCCCTCAATTTCCCCTATAACCTCTATGAACATTTATATATCCCCCTGTATTTATAATTAAACCTATAAGAACCCCTTTGATTAATTAGTGAACCCGTAGTAAAGATCAGCTTATGTCAAACCTATTAATGAATGTCAACAAATGTGAACATAACAGGAGAAGGGGGGGGGGATAGGGGGGTCAAAGAGGGACCAGGAAGCATAAGGAAGGGGCGGATATAAAGAAGGCGGAGGTATCTGTTATCGTATTGGGAGTATACAAGCTAAACTATGTAGATTTTATACCGTTATTATACAATTAATATAAATAAATAAACTATTTTCATATCTTCAAGCAGCTGCTCAATCAAAACCCAAGGAAAAAGTAAATTGGTGTAGTCCTAGATATATTTAGATATTTGATTTGTGGTTTCTCTACTAAAGTAACTATGCACATAACTTGCTTTAGAAACAATGAAGGAATTAAAAGAACTATGTTAAAGACGACGTATTCTTCCACACTCTATTGAAAAGATTAAATTTCAGGGGTTCTGTTGAAAATCGGTTTTGCCTATCCTTAACTGGAGGGCTACTTAAATTACAATGCCAGTCTCTTACATATGTGTCCTAGGAGGAAAATAATGTTTTATTTGCAACCATTTATATTTGTCTCAATTAGAAGATAAAGAATAATTTATTTTCTGAAACCAGTTTAACATGATCAGGTTTTTACCAGCTAATAACACCAAGCTGCACAGCAGAGGAGTAAAAAAACGTGATTAGAACATTTTTGGATGTGACGTTTCATCTCACAAACGTTTACTGAAGCAATAAAAATTTCTTATTTTATATATTTTTTACTACAGAAATTGATTTTTTTAATGGGAAGTTTTAAATGGTTTAACTTCATTTTAATTTTTTCCATTTTTTTATTTCATTTGAAAAGTTTATCTATCCAATGTTTTGTTTTAAATTAAAAAAAAAATAAAAAAAGTCATTAAAGGAACGGAGCTTTTGCAACTAACTCTAATTCCTTTATCTTTGCAACCTCGTGTCGTAGACCTTTGAAGGTTCAAAGGATGAATTCTGTTTTATCAAAAAGTCATAGTTTAAAATATCAAAGGTTTACACAATCTGGTTGCCAAATTATAAGGGTTAGAAAATTTGAATTTATGAGAAAAAACTCAAAGCCTTTATTTTTATTTATTTTATACTTCTTATACTTCACAGTATACAGAGGGTAAAAATTTGCTTATAGAGAGACTGTAGACGTCATTATAAAAACCAAACAAAGAGTGGAATGTCTGATTCACAACAGTACCCTTCTATGATCATGAACCAATAAGTTTTTCATGCTTTTAACTTTATTTCAAATTCGAGGTTTTCTACAAAAGTGCTTTGCAGATTTCTGCACCAGAATCAAAGAGGGAAATTGCCAGAAGTTTACCCCGCACTCATAAAGCCCGAAAACGACGATATCTTCCACATTGTTGATCAGTTAAAGGTTTTAGGATACCGTTGTGAATTGTGCATGCCCCACCTAACTTGAAGGGTCACTAAAACGCATAACGAAAATCTCCGTGGCTAGGAATATAAACCTATTACTAAAATCATTAAAGAATGGTTCAGGAATATCTCTTGTTTATTCTAGGGATTGTTGGATGATAATACCAGCTTGATTATTAATTCTAGTATTAGAAATGGTTCAGGAACGTTGTAGGAATGGTTTACTAAAGTTTACGTACGTTTTGGGAATTGGTTGGGTACTGTTAAAGTTTGAAATGGTTCTAGCATGGTAAGGAATGGCTTAGGGACTTTTAAGTACTGGAATAGGTTCTTGAATGGTTAGGAATGGTTTAGGGTTATCAAGGTACTGTTTAGTACTGGTTGGAATGGCTCATCATTTGTTAGGAGTGGTTTAGGGGTATCAAGGTACTGTTTAGTACTAGAATAGGTTCAAGAATGGTTAGAATGGTTACCCCTATATCAAGATACTGTTTAATACTGGTTGGAACGGTTCATGAATGGTTAGGAATGGTTTAGGGGTAATAAAGTACTGTTTAGTACTGGAATAGGTTCATGAATGGTTAGAATGGTTACCCCTATATCAAGGTACTGTTTATTACTGGTTGGAACGGTTCATGAATGGTTAGGAATGGTTTAGGGGTATCAAGGTACTGTTCAGTACTGGAATAGGTCCCTGAATGGTTTGGAATGGTTTAGGGGTATCAAGGTACTGTTTAGTACTGGAAAAGGTTCATGAATGGTTAGAATGGTTACTCCTATATCAAGGTACTGTTTATTACTGGTTGGAACGGTTCATGAATGGTTAGGAATGGTTTAGGGGTACCAAGGTACTGTTTAGTACTGGAATAGGTTCATGAATGGTTTGGAATGGTTTAGGGGTATCAAGGTACTGTTTAGTACTGGAATAGGTTCATGAATGGTTTGGAATGGTTTAGGGGTATCAAGGTACTGTTTAGTACTGGAATAGGTTCATGAATGGTTTGGAATGGTTTAGGGGTATCAAGGTACTGTTTAGTAATGGAATGTTCATGAATGGTTAGACTGGTAACCCCTATATCAAGGTACTGTTTCATGGTTAGAATGGTTGGGAATGGTTTAGGAGTATCAAGGTACTGTTTGGTACTGGTTGTAATGATTGCGTGCAAGACTGATATCTAGTTGGTTTACAGTTCTGAGTAGAGAGACATATTGGGCGTGGGATATACTCAACTATATTTAGATCTAGATTTACCAGGGTTTTACAGGGGGATATATAAACCTTATATATTCTATATGTACAAATATATTATTATTGTTAATATACACCGTTTCATGTACATCTTAAATAATTTATTACTTAAAACATAAATAAAATTAAGAAATGAAAAAATGTCCAAAATTTCTGATGTCTTTGTTTGTTCTCACAGTTTCTCAGGAATAAGAACCTTAGGCAAGAATTTATGAATTAAAACACAAACCTATTTTCTTGAGTTGAAATATCAAATTAATGCTTTAAACCTAAATACACCCTGTCATATGCTTTTTATAGATGGTACAGGGTCACCCACATAAGGATGAGAACGTAAAGACGTCCTAAAACTATTCAAATAGGGTTCGAATGGTGTTTAAATGGCTTAGTTGATATTAGTTTAAGAATTGAACTAGTAGTTCCAGCTGATTATGAATATAAGGAAACATACATTGTAAATTCCGTAAAATCGTCTCTGAAGTCTCATACTTTGTGAGTAACCCTGTATGACCAATATTTTATTGCAATCTAGTAAAAAAATATTTTAAAACTTTACAAATTCTTAAGATTTTGATTCGAACTTCCATCTAATGTGATTCGCATTTAAAGTTTCTTTTTTTAATTATTAAAATTGTATTTTTTATTTTTACTGCGCTTATATG